TCAAAAAAAAAAAAAAAAAAAAAAAAAAAAAAAATAGACCTAGCAAGTTCTTATTACCACCATATGTATGTAAGTCTTGGGGAGCGGGGGTTGTTTATGGGTAATAGAAATATTTGCCTTTCATAGATAATAAAATCTAATGAGAAGGCAAGATCCAGTCACTTTTTGTGCCTTTATATTTAAATGGCATTGAAATTGAAATTTTAGAGTTAAACATATAGAGTCTCCTGCTGCCCAAAGTAAGCCCTCTTTGAAATAGAAATATGAAAACCCAGTTTAGCCTGGTAAAAATAAAATCTTTAGGTTATGGTTCATTTTTTTTTTTTCATTTTAAAGTGGGAAATGAGACCAAATGGACCTTAAAGTCCTTCTGGTGTTAACTTTCATGGCTCATAAATTTTCCTTTTAATGGAAAAATAGGTATATTGAAAATAACTGAACAAGATAATGTATATCCAGAACGGTACTTTAAAAATATGCAGACTTCACTAAAGTTATTTTTAGGCAGAAGGAACCTGTAAAGTTTAGAAAAGAATATTTAATAAAGCTGGTGGCAATGTTCATTTTAGTTAAGTTAGCTGGAAAGAGTTTATATATTAAGATAACATCATAGGGCCAGCCTTGTGGCACAGTGGTTAAGGGAGTTGGATCCTACATGGCCTACCATGGTTCAGCTCATACCCCAGTGGGTTGGGAACGCATGGAGGGCATGCGTGTATGTGTGCCCCAAATCCTGATGGGATGGAGAAATGGAGGAAAAGGAGTTTCAGTGTGACCATGCCTTGAGAGGGTGGGATGCTTTCTCCCTCTTTCTTCCCCCACCTTTGATGACTGCATGTGCCCTCCGGCAATATAAAAAAAGTAACATCACATAGTTTAAATGAAGTAAACTTTCAGAATTGGTTTTGTCAGGTCCTCCTTTCTTTCTTTATTTTTTTTCTTTATTTGTCACAAATACTTGGTGGTACATGTAAGATGGCCACCAGCCTGACTGCCTGGCGGCAGAGTCTGAGAGACCTGTAAGCTGCCACATTTCAGATGCACAAACCCCAGTGGGGTTGGATGCTCAGGACTTGAACAGCTATGTCTTCAGCTCTCTTTCTTCTTTGACATAGGTGCATGTTCTTCACAACCTCAGCTGCCGTGTTGTCGTGCCATTCCATAATCACACTGTGAATTAACCCCACCACAACCTGTGGCCCGTGACTATGCTTTGTTAACGAGGAATAGCAAGAATCAGTGGCTTTGTACCAACCTAAGCCATCTGTCAGTCATTGACTCTCATATAAACTGTCTGGACTCCGCTCTGTTCAATATACTGGCAACTTGAATGAAGGCATAAAGCATATAGTTAATTCTACAAATCATCTCTAATCACATGGCCACTACATGATTTATGGAGATGCACGTAAAATAATTTGATGACTTTGATAACTGAGATGTGATTCTATATAATGAATAGAATTCTATAGCCAAAATGAATGCATAAGTGATAAATACTAATCACAATATTTATAGATATAAAATAACATGACTCAAAGATAACCGTGAGGCAAGGGTGGGAAATTGGGAGAGCAAAATTGATCTGAAGTTAAGTAAAACCTCCAGATGCCACTGAGAAGAAAAAGAAGCCAGTATAACATTGAGATGTAATAAAATCCATGTTGAACAAACAGGCAGGAAATTATTGTATTAATTAGTCACATACTAAGTAGATTATCACACTCTGGTTGTGATTTCTACACCTTTCATTTTTATTATTATTATTTTTTTTTGGTTTGGTTTGGTTTTTACCATAGGGCATGTGTACTCCCTGAGACAGAGAGGATACAGTGAGAGGGAAATCACCCCCAGGGGGACAGCCATACAGCAGTCTCTCCTCTGTTTTCCTGAGGTTTGGGGCAGGCACACATGCACACCTAGCACGAGTTTCAAGGTGCTGGGTCCAGGACTCCAACCATAGTCAGCCATGTGGGAGTCCAGTGCCTTAACCACTACACTACCTGCTGGCCCCTGATTTCTATACCTTTTTAAAGCATAGGAAAAACTGAAGATGAACCCAAAATAAACCTTAAGAAAGGCTAAAAGTTAAGCAATTCTCATGTGAGTAAAAAACCATAAGCTCTGCTTTTATTGAAACGTTGATGAGTAACTTCAAGAGTATTCTCAAGGAAAAAAAGGTGCCAGGAAATCGTTTCTCCCTTGTTTTCTTCTTGCATGCTTAGATGAGTAGTTTGTCGGGCAGCATCAGCAGGAGGGTAGTAACTAATAAGTGAGAGATTGCTGCTAGGCAGGAGGTTTCACCTCAGCATCTCAGTAGCTGTTGGGTGTGAGTCTCCTGCTGCCTGCATAGCTAAACTCACTTTGTTCCACCTGTAGCTGCATTATTCTAATTCCGTGATGGAGACCGCTCACAGGTTCCTGAATACTCTCTCTCTCTCTCTCTCATCCTCTTTGGAGTTTGAGCTACAGGCAAGGCCATAGGCAGGTTTTGAGCCTGGAATCTTGAGCTGGGAATCTTTGCAGTCAAAGGCTCAAATATTGTGAAGCTGATGAAGCTTCCTGACTTGTGAGAAGACTCACAGGAGCTCTGTCTCCCCACCAAAAAAAAAAAAAAAAAAAAAAAAAATCACAGAACCCAGTCCTGTTTAAACCTCATTGGTTTGCATTGTATTTATTTACTTGTTTGAGAGAGATTTCTGTTACAGGGTGTGTGTGCTCACTGGGGAGACAGAGAAAGAGAGAAAGAAAACAAGAAATCACCCCCAGGGGGCAGAGCCATGCCGTAATCCTTTCTCCGTTTTCCTTGTGGGATGTTGGACATGCACGCACATGTGCCTGGCACAAGTTTTAAGCTGCCAGGTCTGGGGCTTGAACCGCAGTCAACTACATGGGAATCCAGCAATGTAACCATTATACTATCTGCTGGTCCCTGTTTGCATTTATTTTTAATTTATTATGTTCTGTGCTTTTTTTCTTTTTTTCTTCACTTGTCTCTGAATTCTTGTTTTTTTTTTTTTTTCCTCATTTCAGCAATTTTCCCATCTCACTTGGTGTATCCTCCCCATCCAAATCAATCTCCAGGGTCCTTATGGCTGAGGAAGTCCTTGGTGGAAAGTTTATCTTAGGTCTGCCTTTTTGTTGTGATTCCCACTAAAGGATGTGATTTTGATCTCATGTTTCTTCTGGATCCTCTTTAATGACCTAACTTCTTTAAACCATCATTTTCTTTCAGCTCATCAAGGTGGCTTTGGAGAAGAGCCTGGCAACTGTGGAGACCCAGAACACCTCTCTTCCTGTTGCAGAAGAAGGGAACAGTAACAGGTGTCTTCAGGAGGAAATTCTCCACCTGAGGGCTGAGATTCACCAGCATTTAGAGGAGAAGAGAAAAGCTGAGGGGGAGCTGAAGGAGCTAAAGGCTCAAATTGAGGAAGCAGGATTCTCCTCAGTGTCTCACATCAGGTAGGACTTCCTCCCCAGAGAAGGGGAGCCTGCTGTTCAAGAGGTACATAACTGGGGACTCACTTTGCTGTTATCAAGGCCTTCATGATATCATGGGACTACTTGGTTGGTATCTCAGGCTCCATGCATCAATGTTTCTATAAATTCTTTAGAGAAGACTTACTAATATTAAACAATGGTAATCACTTTGCATTGTTTAAGTAAATATGATCTTAATTCAGTGTAATAATTCCCGTTATTACTGCCAATTTACCCATTAGATATGTGACAGCCATGGGTAGAAACATCTTAACTGTATGAGTGACAACTGCCCTTTTGAATTGACTGGGATGTGTAAATAATCCCCCACTATCACAGATGTTTCACTGCTGCATACAGAACCAGAATAGTCCTTGAGGGAGGAGGATTTATCCAGGGTCCCTCGATCTCCACTTGACTCTCTTGTATCATGGAATAGCAATTTTAATAATCTTTGCTGCCTTTATTGACTTGACAAAAACAACAAATACCTGAGTCATCGGCTAGGTTGGCCACCAATGTTTTTTTTTAACTTTTAAAAATATTTTTATTTGCTATTATTACTTTTTAATTTGACAAGAGTAGGAAAGAGAGAGAGAGAGAGCGTGCAAACCACCAGGTTTGAGACTTGAACTGTGGTCGGCCATGTAGGAGTCAAGCAACCTTATCCACCATGCCACCTGCCAGCCCCATGCCACTCTGTTTTTATTGCTTTTTGTTTTAGCTTTTATTTTCTATGTTGCTTTATAATTTCTTATTTACATTTAATTATTGTACATCTTTGTAGGGCACAACCTGGATTTTCAAAACATGCATGCAGTATGTGATCATAATATCAAGATTTATTACTGTACTCATCATTTTCAACGAAGAACACCACATTTAAGATTAAACTGGACAATGTCTTTTTTTTTTCTAAATTGTATTATGCCACTTTACAATCCACTTGCCCTGTCTACCATGTTCCTGTATCTGTTAAAACTTTTTTCCCCCTGATCTCTTGTCTCTCTCATACTCCATCCCCTATGCAATCTTTGGAGTCTACAATTGTTCTCTCTACTTTTGTGTCTTCAATAGTTCAGTTCCTGCCATAGAGTGTCACAGTCAGGATATATCGAGTGAGGACCAGTATAGTTGTCTTTTATAGTCTTTCTTCTTTCACTTAGCATTACATCTCCTAGATGCGTAAATTTTGTTGTTGTTGTTGTTAAAAGATGCTTAGAGGTAACAAATAAAGCTAAAAATCAAAACAAAGAATAAGGAAAAAAAGATGCTTGGTGCAGGGATTGGGGGTCAACCCATGGTGTAGTGGTTAAGGTCTTTTGATCCCACATAGCCAACTGTGTGGTTTGAATCCTAGACTCAGCAGCTTGAAAAACATGCAGGACATGTGTGCATGCATGCCCAAAATCCCAAAAGGAGAGAGGAAAAGGAATTGTGACATGTGTGACACGACTGTTCTCTGGTGGGGGGGTGGTGGTGTTTTTTCCTTCCCCACTTCCTACCTTTTCTGGTGAGCAGAAATTCTGGTGATTTTTTTAGCTCTGAAAAAAAATAATTATTTTTAAATGCCTGGGGAACATGCTTATACTGTAGAGCTAATCCATTTATTCATTAACCTTCAAGGGACTTAACCACCAGGGCCTATTGATCATCAGTAAAATAAAGGAGTTGTCACATATCTCTGAGGCCACTTTATGCTCTGAGGTGTCTGAGTCTATCACAGACTGAGACATGGTATGAGTGACTATTGGGAACTGTGGTTATGACCTGAGCCCTGATTATATGTTTCTACAGGAATACCATGCTGAGCCTTTGCCTTGAAAACGCAGAGCTGAAAGAACAGATGGGAGAAGCGATGTCTGACGGATGGGAGATCGAGGAAGACAAGGAGAAGGGCGAGGTGATTGTGGAGACTGTGGTAGCCAAAGGGAGTCTGAATGGGAATAGCCTTCAGGCTGAGTTCAGAAAGCTTCAGGGAAAACTGAAGAATGCCCACAATATCATCAACCTCCTCAAAGAACAGCTGGTGCTGAACAGCAAGGAGGGGAATAGTAAACTTACTCCAGAACTTCTTGTGCACCTGAGCAGAGAGATCGACAGAATGAACAGAGAATTAGTGTGTTCTCCTGGGAAGCCCCAGTGCAAAGAGGAGGAGGATGTGACCAAGAGGCCCTCTCCCAGACCACAGAGCCTCAACCTTGGGACTGTCCTCATGGAGGGTGCCCACCAAGTAAGTGTAGACCTAGAGAAGGGCTGGAGATGCCAGTTTTTACCTTGAACAGCTCTGCCTTGTGGGCTAGGGGGTATAAGGGGAGATCTTTTTATACCATGAGCAGTATAATATTGATAATATCCCTGGGCCAGCAGGTGGCGTCATGGTTAAAGCACTGGATCCCACACGGCTGACTCCATGATTCAAGTCCCAGACCTGGCAGCTTGAAAAACATGCAGGGTGCATGGGCTTGTGTGCCCCAAATCCTGAGAGGAGAGTAGGGGAGAGAGGATTGCAGTAGGGCCATCTGCCCTGAGGGATGATTTCTCACTTTCCCTCTCCCCACTGTGCCCAGCAAGTACACAGACTCTAAGGGAAAAATAAAACAAAGCTACACACACACACACACACACACACACACACACACACACATTTTGTCATAAAAGTCATAATGTATTTTTCTGTTTTTCTATGTAAAATGTATCAATACTTTGACAACTATATTTATATATCTCCATCACCCCCACTCTTCCTACACACACACACACACACATTCAACCTTTCAGAAGGCTTTTTACAGCATTATCTCAAATACTCCTTGAGTATTTTAAAGATAACACACTAGACATTGGCATTGGGCAGTCAACCTAATTTCTGCCCTTGAAGTATTCAATATGGTGGGGAAAGATGGCACAAAAGCAGATCATTTCATACTTCAGTAGGGTGTGGTAACTGCTATTATGCAGAGATGCATCAGATTTTGAGACAGCCCAGATGAAAGGTGTATAATAATATCTCTTCCTTATCACTGCCATTTTCATCACAGCTTATCACAGGTGTCTATTCCTGGGCCTCAGAGGGGTTATTGGGATCCTCCTTAAGGGAAGGAGCTTTGCTGAGGATTCAGTAAAATGAAAAATGCGGAGGATTCTGGGAGGAGCCCGTGGACAGGAATGCAGAGAGAGATGAGTGGAGGTTTCCACCGCTTCTTTTTTCAGCCACTGAGCCAGCACTTACTGAGAGTGCCTGTCAAGCTTGACTGGCTCTGTGCTATGTGCTGTAGATACAGAGATGAATAAAACATTGTCCCAGCTCTCCAGAAGCTCTGTCTGGGAAGCAAGTAACTGCATGAGAAATGCTATGACAGACACACAAAGTCCGCAGGGTTCAGAGAGGGAAGTGGCTGTCACGGTGTGGGGGATGACCTCAGACTGTCCTGATGCCTGTATTGCCCCCTTTCACAGCACGATAACCAGTCCCAGACTTGTGACCCAGGGCCTCCATCAGAATTTGGCCTTCCAGGGTCCACCAAGCACCTGCGCTCCCAACTGGCACAATGCAGACAACGCTATCAAGATCTCCAGGAAAAGCTGCTGCTATCAGAAGCCACCATCGTTGCCCAGGCTAATCAGCTGGAGAAGTACAAGGTCATATTTAGTAAGTCTTCCAAGTTCCCCATCACCAAAGTACCCTTCTTCTTCCTGAGGAGTATATGTATTTTTTTGCATACTTTTAGTTTCTTCCTTCATCCCCAAACAGATTTAATCCTAGTGACAGTCCTAGAATTGTGAAACTGATGATTTGATTTCAGTTTGCAGAAGGCAGAGAAGAATGAAGGAATAAAGCAAGGTTTTAAGTTTGCAGTTAGAGAGTAGGTAGGAAACGAGCCACCGTCTCGATTTGATTTCTGACATAGTCAATTAGCTGCCTTACCTCTCTTGGCCTGTGCTTGTTGTTTCTCTTCTGCTACTTTGTACCACAGCAGATTCTTCAAAATATGTCAGCAGTGCAGGTCTGGAACTGGGATTGTCTATGGAATTTCCTGCAGTAATGGATATGATCTATGTCACATTGGCTATTGAGAACATGAAACGTGGCTAGTGTCACTTAAAATGTTTAAGTTTTATTTCATTTCATTTAATATTATATAAAATAGTCACATGTAGCTAGTTAACCATCTTACTGGACAGTACAGGTTTAGTTGTTTTGTAGCCCTAAATTAGTTCAACTCTATTCAGACATTCTGAGCTCTTGTGGGTAAAGCTAGCTCCACGGGACTTCCAGAGATGATAGTATGCAACTGCCGATTTACAGATGTCTAGTCCCAACTGAGCCAAGGTAATCTGAAGGTGAGATGGTCAGTGGCAAACACAGAGTCATCACAGTGGAGGAAAGTTCTGCTGCCTAGAACAGGTGACCTCTTCTCCCGCATGATCCAAAAGAAGCATCTGTCCCACCCTGGATCTGACCACCCTACCCCTAAAAGCCAGGATCTGTGCCATTGAGGTTGGAGGTTGGGGAATTCCGATACTCTGGACAACCTGATGTTTCTTTCCTAGCAGGTGAATCATTGGTAAAGCAGGACAGCAAGCAGGTCCAGGTGGACCTTCAGGACCTGGGCTATGAGACTTGTGGCCGGAGTGAGAATGAGGCTGAGCGGGAGGAGATCACCAGTCCTGGTAAGAGCAGAAGGCGTAAGACACATCTCCTTTCTTTTGAGTTAGTCGTCACGTGGTGCTGCTGGCTAGTCCCATACCCGGCAGGTAGTAATGGGGAGAGGTGTGACGACTAATGGGGATGCAGGGCCAGAGGACTGGAAGCTCAGAGGAGAACTCTTGACCAAAATTAGACTGAGTGTGAGGGTTAGTTTCAAACTTAAAGCATGACTTTCTACAGTTAGTTTTCAAATAGAAAATATTAGTTAGAAATAATAATAAAAAGTTCTGTCCAACTGATTGTTCTAGAAAAAACAAACAAACAAACAACTAAGGCCTGCTTCTTAAGGAAGAGACCAAATGAGCTTTTGGGGAAATGTAAGCCATAAGTTAAAAACAAACAAACAAACAGAAAACACTGTTTCGCATTATAAAGTGATTGTAACCATAGGGTCACCTGCCATATTGAAACCGAGAAGAGAAAAACACTCATGATCTCTCACCCTTGAGGCAGTATATGGTGGTAGCTGAAAGCAGTGACCCTGGGACTAGTCTGATTAGTTCAAACCCCAGCCTGTGAGCTTCTCTGTGTCTGAATTTCTTCCTCTGTTAAGTTAGTAAAGGAGCTACTTATTTCATTGGGTGCTAATGTCAATTAAATGAGTAAATTTTTCTTTTCCCCATTTTTGCCATAGGATGTGTGTGCTCACCAGAGTGAGACAGAGGAAAGTGACAAATTACCCCGCAGAGGGGATGTCCATGCCACAATCCCTTCTCTTCCATCCTCATTTTGGGACTTTGGACATGCACACACATGCACCTGGCATGATTCTCAAGCTGCTGGGTCCAGGACTCAAACCACAAAGGTGGCCACGAGTTACCTAAACCTCAGTACCACCTGCTGGCCCCACAATGAGTAAATTCTTTTTATTTTTCTTTCTTTCTTTTTTTTTTTTTTTTAGAGAGAGGTACATGTGCTCACCAGAGACAGAGACAGACAGAAAGGGAGAAATCACACCTCCCCCGCCCCCCAGGGGAGATGGCCATGCCACAATCCCTTCTCCTCTATTGTCCTCTTGGAATTTTGGGCACGTACACACATGCGCCCGGTGCAAGTTCATATTCAGGAGGATGCCTTTGCTGTTTTTCAGAGTGTGAAGAACATGACAGCCTCAAGGAAACAGTCCTGATGGAGGAACTGAGTTCTCAGGAGGGGCGCCTAGGCTCAGCACGGACCAGCCCTCATGGAAAGGAGCCCCTGGAGAGCCAATCAGGAAAGCATGGAGAATTCCAGACGTATGGGAAGTCGGAAGACATTTCTATCCTGAGAAAGGATATCAAAGATCTGAAGGCCCAGCTACAGAATGCTAATAAGATCATTCAAAACCTCAAGAGCCGGGTCCGGTCCCTCTCAGTTACAAGTGATTATTCATCCAGTCTGGAGAGACCTCGAAAACTGAGGGCTGTCGGCACCCTTGAGGGGTCTTTCCCTCACAGTGTCACTGACGAGGATGAGGGCTGGCTGTCTGATGGCACTGGAGCTTTCTACCCGCCAGGGCTTCAGGCCAAAAGGGATCTGGAAAGTCTCATTCAGAGAGTATCCCAACTGGAGGCTCAGCTTCCAAAAACTGGACTAGAAGGGAAGCTGGCCGAGGAGCTGAGATCAGCCTCATGGCCTGGGTAAGGAGGGCACTGTTGGAGCCTTTACTTGTCTGTTGATGCCTACATTTATACTTTGAGTAGGATGGCCCAGGCAGTGGGAAGGAAAAACATACCAGGGGAATGAGAAGGATACTTACTTAGATGGTTGATAAAGATCTAAGAAAAAGATGGATAGGCAGCCAGTAGCACTGGATGGTGGCCTAGTATCTGGGGGATTTTGACACTTCCTCCTAGGAGTGTATTAGACAAGTGATAGTATATATGGTGTAGTATAGTAGTAAGAGTGGAGGCAAACTGCCTGAGATTAAATCCTAGCTCTGGCACTTACTAGCTGTACAGCCTCTTTAACCTTTCTGGTATATTTCCTTTAAGAGAATAAGAATACCCATCTCAAAGTGTGGTTATTAGGTTTAAGTGAATTAATTTAAGTGCTCAGAATAGTGCCTAACATGATTTAAGCTCTCAGTGCTATTTGCCTTGATTATTATTGCTATTGATACTTTGTGTTGAAAAACACTGAGTAGAAATCCATCTTGGCATCTGCCCTCCTTACTTAGTGCTAAGTAACAAACCACCTCAAAACTTATCATCTTCGAATGGTAACTTATTATTTCTTATTGTTCTCTGGGTTGACTGGGTTCAGCTGGGTGTCTCTCACATAGGGGGTCTTTCCTGTGGTTACCATCAGGTGCTAGCCAGAACTGGAGTCATCTGAAAGACCTGACTGGGTGGGACATCACTTCTTTATCCACAAGTCTGATGACATGGTTCTCCTTGGCTTCTGTATTTCTTCACGTAGCTTCTTGTCCTTGGGGGCCTCTTCTCCTGGCTTGAACTTTTCGTAGTATAGTGATCTTTGGGTAGTTTAACTGCTATATGGTGGCTGGCTTGCAAAAGGCAAGAAGTGAGAGTTGCCCGAATAATTAAGGGCTACTCCTGGGCCTGACACAGTGTCATTTTTACTATATTATCTTGGTCAAAGTAATCGCAAAACCAAATCATATTTTAGGAAGTAGGGAATAGCTTCTACCTGGTGGTGTAAGATTGGCAAAACCACATTGCAGAAGAGTAGATGGGATGGAAGGTTGTGTAATGGCCATCTTTACAGTTCACAATAGTCTGAACATAGCATGGAAGAAATCCAGGCATCGGGTAGTGTTGAAATAGAAGACCTGGAAGGTCCTGTCTAGACTTAGGATAAAGTGATTCTAAGTATTGAATAACTCCTCAGAGTCTACACCATATTGGTGCTGAATGGGATGTAAATGGCACTTTTTATCTTCATAGAAGTTATTCTTGTGGACATATGACTAACATTAATGAAACAAGTAAAGAACACTTTCTGATACAGTAATTTCTCAGAACAGGTTTTACTCTTAAATACGCCCTATTCTTAAATGTCAGAATTCAGCTTAGGGGAGCACCTTAGAGATGTTCTCAAAGAAGCCCCCATAACTGATCAATCACTCTTTTCCATACCTACTCTCTCCTCTTCTCTCCTGCACTAGGAAATATGATTCTCTGATTCAGGATCAGGCCCGGGAACTATCTTATCTACGGCAAAAAATACGAGAAGGGAGAGGTATTTGCTATCTTCTCACACAACATGCAAAAGATACAGTAAAATCTTTTGAGGATCTCCTAAGGAGCAACGACATTGACTACTACCTGGGGCAGAGCTTCCGGGAGCAACTTGCCCAGGGAAGCCAGTTAACGGAGAGGCTTACCAGCAAACTCAGCACTAGTAAGTTGGCCACATGGCTTTGGAGTACCTTCTGTCACTCCCATTACCCTAGACCCAGGTGGCCACTACAGGTACACTGTGGCTTTTTAACCCAAGGTTCTGTCTCCAGTTCATCTCCTGGGGGACATTATCGGGTATGGAGTGGCTAGTGGTGAGCACTGAGAGGAACACACTGGGTTGGGGATATCATTGCTGCAACTAGAAACTTCAGGACGCAGGGAATGTGGTCTTTAGGGCAGGAGGCAGCACCCGTCTGATACTAATGAGGAGAGAGATAAGATTAAAGGCCCTTGTTATAGTGAAAAGAATCCTGAACTAAAAATTGCAAGACCAAGGTCTAGCCTGGTTGCTGCCATCAAAGTACATTGGGCAGGGGCCAGCAGGTGGCATAGTGGTTAAAGTTCTGGATTCCCACATGGTCGACCACGGTTCATGACTCAGACCTGGCAGCTTGAAAATCATGCTGGGTGTGTGTGCCCAAAATCCCGGGAGGAAAAGGAAACAGAAAGGACTGTGGCATGGCCGTTGCCCCTGGGAAGTGATTTCTCACTTTCCCTCTCTTTGAACCTCTGTCTCTTTCCTCTCCAGCGAGTACATACATCCTATGACAAAAACCTAGAAAAAAAAGTACTTTCGGAAAATGACTTATGCTTTCGATATTCTGTTTCCTTATTTATTGCACAGTACGGTGCATGCATGCATTTAATGTGTGGCTAAAGCATCATGCTCCTTTGAACATGGTTTAGGCCCTGGCTATTGTAGGTCAAGGGATATGTTGGTTATTATTATAGCCCACTACTACTTATTTTTTCTGAAGAGTGTCTGAGGGAGCAGCAGGCTCAGACTGGACATCCAACAGCTCATCTCCTGGTGGGGGATGGGAGAGCAGATAGAGCTGTTTGTCATCTCAGAGATGAAGGCTGAGCTGAAACACACAGCCATGTGTCTTGAGAGTCAGTCTGTAGTGGGACACTGAATTTGGAGTGTTTCATGGGTAATGAGACAAAAGACATTTTAATTTTTGGCCCCAATTCAGAGCAAAAGAAGTCACAATATCAGGGAAGGTTGGTCTGCTAAGCTTAGGTGAGCCTGCCAGTTTACTTCCCCAAGACATGACCTAAAGCTTCCCAGAATGATTATCTTGGATGCAGATATAAAGTAATCAGTGTGTCCAATATACCCCTGTGTGTGTCATCTGTGAAGTGGGACTTGTTTCATTTCTTACTCTCTCTTTCTGAATTTGGTTTGCAGAGGATCATAAAAGTGAGAAAGATCAAACTGGACTTGAGCCCCTGGCCCTCAGGTAATTCATAATAGAATCCGATAAAGGATCAGGATCAAGGTCTAAGGGTGGCCATGACTTCACAACTTAGGGAGGGGAAAAGGAAAATTTGGAATATAATTAATTTTTTCAGTCATTCAACATCTTACTGTTGTTTTTAACCACAGTCTTTATTTTCTTTTGATGTAATTCCACTGGCTCATTAATTCTCCAGGCTTAGTAATCTAAAAACAATCTGACCTTAAAAGTGAACAACTAGGTTTCAAGGATCTTCTGTTCCCCCAGGGGTCTTCTGTGCCTTTCTCTGTGTATTTAATGGCTAGGATGGACTTTTTGTAATGTTGGCCTGCTCCGACTTGGGTTGATAGCTAGTTATAGTCACCCAGTTTTCTTGCGGGGGCAAGGGTGTGATTATATGGTAGTACCTAGTCAAAGAGCCTAGATGGGACAGATCCCTGGGAGATTACAGGGCTTCAAGAACCATTTTCAAAGAGTCCCTCCCCCTCCCCCCAGGAGCCTTCAAAAAATTCATGGAAACGCATTATTTTGAAAAGGCTGTATGTTAATTTCAAAACTTTCTGACACCAAAATAAACTCATACTTTAATTCCATTTCCATGAAAAATTTTTAAGTATCCTCATAATGCTCAATAAAATATAGGCTCAGAGTCAGTTGTAGCCACTAATTTGAGCTCTTTGTATCATGTGCTTCACAGAATATCTGTGCTAAAGGACAAGTGTTTTGTTTTCGTTTTCTGTTTTCATGTCAAATCCGTCATAGTTACTATATGTGATCTGTACTTCAATTAACTGGATGATTCCACTATTATACTCTTGAATGTTGGGACAATGTTTTGTTTCTTTCAATTTTTGTATTTGTTTTAGACCTGGTAGCAGTTCTTAGACTGCAAGTGTTCTAGGGACCATACTTTAAGAAGCAATGCCTGGCCCACAGGTGGTATGGTGGTTAAGAACACTGGGCTTCCACATGGCTGACCATGGTTCGAGTCCCAGACCTGGCAGCTTGCTTTTTCACATTACCTTTCTCTTTCTCTCTACCTCTCTGTCAAATTAAAATAAATAAATAAAGTTCAATAAAATAATTCTAAAAAAGAAGAAGAAGAAGAAGAAGAAGAAGAAGCAGCAGCAGCAGCAGCAATGCCTAAGAGAGCCAGCTGTGTTTCTGCTAGTCCTCAGCCTATTACATAGCCGGTGCATTGGGTAGCTGTTGTTTTTCCATCTGTAGCTCACCTATTCTCCATTTCTAATTAGAGATGAGTTATTTCAATTATTCTCCATAATCGATGGGTTCCCTCAATTTATGTAGCTTTTGCCATGAGCCTCAGCTAGCACTAAATGGTCTAAGTAACCTTGCTTTCGTTGTTCTCCTTTCCCACCAGGCTCAGCAGGGAGCTGCAGGAGAAGGAGAAAGTGATTGAAGTCCTGCAGGCCAAGCTGGATGCCCGGTCCCTCACGCCCCCCAGCAGCCATGCCTTGTCTGACTCCCACCGCTCTCCCAGCAGCACCTCCTTCCTGTCTGATGAGCTGGAAGCCTGCTCTGACATGGACATAGCCAGCGAGTACACACACTATGAGAAGAAAGCTTCACCTGGTCACTCAGGTAGCTTCTACTTTTTCTGAGTGATAAAGATGATTGGTGCCATCTTTATCTAGGCTGAAAGGAGACCTTGGGAACTAGGCCTTATAGCTCCACCTTGGTGTGTATCTGGCTGAACATGGCTCCAGGACCAAGTACCAAGAACAGGTGTCAGTGGGTCAGGATCTTTGCTGTGCTCCTGACTCTACAATTTACCGTGTTGCTCTGGCTTCCTTTGGCACGTACGTGTTGCTGGACCTGAGGCCACCCATAGCGGGGCAAGTGAGACAATCATGGCAGATGATAGACCTCCTTTCAGATGGAACATCTCATCTCTCCTGCAACGCTCTTTCTAGTTGCAGTTCCTAAGAAGTGTCCCTAAGTATCTGTGGGTATCCACGGATGTTGCCTATCTTGCCTGATGTTGTTAAAGTTCCATTTTTATGGTTTTAGGGCTCTGAACCCCACTGTCACCCCTAAGGTGGTTTGCCTCATTAAAGGAGCTATCTGCAAGCAAAAAAACCTGAACATGGCTAACAATGTTTATGCTTGGTTCTTTCCCTGAAAACAAGATTATAGGCCCGATACCGCAGGGTAAATATAAGGCCAGGATTCCAGTTCTCTGTAGAACACCAAACATTTTCTTTCATTCATGGGTTTTATAGATTCCATCCATCATTCAAGTCATTCTGCTGTATTGTCTTCTAAACCATCAGCAACCAGTGCTTCTCAGGGGGTTAAGGCCGAATCCAGCAGCAACCCCATCAGCTTGCCAACTCCCCAGAATCCCCCCAAGGAGGCCAGCAAGGCCTGTCCAGGTATGCACAAGCCAATGGGGCAGTAGCTTAATTTCCTCTCCCTCGGTGGCCGTTTCATTTTTCTTCAGGGATCAAGGTTTGGACTGTTAGGGGCTATATGCATTAAATCCTAGGGAAAATCAGGGACCAACCTCATTCACCAAGTCTGTCTGATGTTTGTTCAAAGTATTTTAGAAAATAAGTAATCTGCAACATGCTTTGATCTACATACCAGTTTCAACCAATATTTGGCTAATCATTTCTTAAAAACATTAATTTTTTTTTCTCCCATTTCACTTTGGGGAGCAAAGAGTCAAAATATTTCTCCCAGGATTGCAACAGCCAAAGAACAAGAATAAATTCATATCTACTGATCCTTTGTACATGTTACCCATCAAGTCTACATGATAATCCTCTGCAATTGGTGGTACTGCTTACTTCATAGCTGAGGAGGCTTCAGCTTCTGTTCATATTATGTTGCCATTCATGGATTTATGAATGAATTAGCAGTCCTTGACATGTACGTGGTGCCTACCCCGGGAGCAATGAGGAGTAGATGTCATCACATGCCTCAGTTTGGTTGCAGGGGTGCACTGTTCATTCACAGGTGTACACCAGTGGTGGCAGGGAAAGGGCAAAGCTTGTCCTCACCACCCACCTCCCACCGTACTGGATGGTTTCTGCGCTCTGGCCTTCAGAATGGGTGTTGGTGAGGTATGACTCCAGCAGAGGTGCTCTCAGAAAGCCCAGGACTGTCTCAAGTTGTTCTCTTCTCTCCTGAAGCCAATTCAACTGAATTTTCAATGAAAGGGACTGTCCCAACTCTTCCTGAGCTGGGAACGTTTCTAGGCCACAGTGGGCAGCAGCTGAGCCAGATCCTGGGTAAAAGCTATTTGCCCAGAGCTATAGACATCTGTGTAAATGCTTTAAGTCCAAATGGAGCAGAAGATCAAGGGTTTTAAAACCAGAATGCCTCCCCAGAGGATGCCTAAGCTGTGTCACGTGGCAGTCTGGGTGTCTTTGCAGTGCTGCTCTAATATGGTGTTAGCTCCAGGGGCAAAGGATGCACCGTAAACTGTAACTCTTATCTTCAACATCAGACATTCTCTCAGGTTAGTTATGGTTTCTGCGCCCTCCACTGGCTACCTGCCCTAAAACTGCTTCTAGGAAAGAAGAAACAGATTCAAACATTGGCACTTCTTAGGATTCCTAAAGACTTGCTTGTAGATGGGCTGCATAAAAATCACCTGCAAAATTCTTTTCAAGTGCAAATTTTTAGGCTCTTCTCACAGAGTTTATAATTTTGTAGGTCCCCAGTAAGGCCTAAAGTAACTTCATGTGGTACAAGTTTTTGGAAAGTGGCTTGAATGCCAGACAGATTTGCAAGCCATCATGTCTAAGTCACTCCACCAAGCCCCCTATTTTTCATTTGGCAAATGAACATCTTGATTTGGGATTTGGAAGTCTGATTCCATCAGAATCCTGAATTGCATGTATTCATAATACACATTCCCCCACAGTCCTTGTTCATTCCTGTCCTCTGAAGATGGGCCTGATGTTTTCAGAAAAGGAGTTCTAGGTATAGAGATTGTCTTGTCCCAGGGGCAAGGACTGGTACAAGCTGGGACAGTACTGCAGGACCCTTGAGAGCATTCAGGTACAGCTCTTCTGACCTGTCCACATCCAGGATTGCTGGAGTGGAGCTCAGTAATGCCACCTTGCCTCTGTAGCCAATTGCTTTCATATTCCATATGCATGCAGAGTAGCCTGGGCAGTGGAGAAGGAGGTAAGGGTAAGCAGGCGAACCTCTCTGGTAACAGTGATTAGCCTAGGCCGTCTCAGCTTACACCAAATTAAGTGATAACCATTCTCCAGAAGAAATCTGGTCAGGGTACACTCTCTGGTTACACTGTCTCAATCTTTTAGCCATTCTTTTCTCTCATTTTTTCTCTAATGATGTGTCTCCTTTCTCTCTAACTTTCTGTTTCTAGGCTTTCATTTTAACTCCATACCCAAGCTGGTTAGCCTCCCCCAGGCACCACTGCCCTCAGCTCCATCCAGCTTCCTGCCTTTCAGCCCCCCCGGCCCTCCCCTCCTTGGCTGCTGTGAGACACCGGTGGTCTCCCTGGCTGAGGCTCAACAGGAGCTGCAGATGCTGCAGAAGCAGTTGGGAGAAAGTGAGCACTTACTGCTGCATTTGTGTGCTTGCAAACGGCAGCCCCACACTGTGTTGCTCTGCATGGCTTTGAGTTGATGGCAGAGTTTAAGAAAACTGCATAGGGGTATGCATTGCAAGAGGAAGACTGAGGGAAAGCTCTGCTTGCTGTTTTTTGGAAATGCATTTGCTGTTATCTTTTTGCTGTGTGTATCTCATCAGTTCATAGGTGTGTATGTTCAGGAGCCTCCGGATCTAGTGCTTATACACTGTTTGGTAGTGCTGGATGTCACTGAATGTTCTCAGTCTCTGGCAGACTGGAAAAATGCCTCTTGGCAGTGGGTGGGAGAGATCCTACCTAGGATGAAGTGGCCACAAAAATGATGACCACATTGAATGGGCTACTTTGTGGGGCTGTATATCTTCCTGTTGTAAAATTATCTGAATCAAGTTCAGTTTCTGATATTATTAGATGGGGACAGAAAGAGTGGTGGTTGGGGGCCGGCAGATAGAAAGTGGTTATATTGCTGGACTCCCATACAACCAACTGCAATTTGATTCGCAGACCCATTGTCTTGAAAATCATGTGCCTGGTGTGCATGCATGCCCAAGATCCTGGAAGGAGAAGAGAGGAGAAGGGATTGTGGTGTGTCCATCCTCCGGGGCAGGGGAGGGGGCGGTGATTCCTCACTTTCCCTCTCACTGTCTCTCTCTCTCTTTCTCTCTGGTAAGTACATGCACCCTAAGGCAAAAATTTCTAGAAAGAGATAGAAAGGAAGAAAGAAAAGGGTGGTGGCAGAGGCATTCAGAGACCCCTTTTCCTATTACACAAGGTTCCTCTTTGCCTCAGGACAGGTAATACATGAGAAGCTAAAGCTATAGGCACAGGCTGTGATGTGTTTGGCTTCTGTCTTCTGACTCCCAAAGATAATTCATCTTATGAAGGAACTTCGAAAGATTTGAGAGAAAATGGAATTAAAGCACGCATTTATTTTAGTGCAAAAAAGATTTAAAATGCTTGCATAGTTTTTAATAATACACATTTCCCCTGAACTTTTTTTTAATTATTTTTATTTTTATTTTTTTGCTATAAGGCGCGTGTGCTCACCAAAAAGACAGAGTGAGACAGAGAGACAGAAAGTGAGAAATCACCCCCCAGGGGGGATGGCTATGCCACAATCTCTTCTCCTCCATTCTCCTCTCAGGATCTTGGCCATGCATGTACACACACCAGGCGTGAGTTTAAGCCACTGGGTCTGGGACTCAAACCACGGTCGACTACATGGGAGTCCAGCAACATAGCCATTATGCTAACTGTTGGTCCCTCCCCTGAACTATTTTAAGGCCCCTTGTTTGTAGTACCGTAATTCATAGACTGTGTATAGTAGTGAGGTCTAAAAGGTCGACTCTTCTGCTCATCAGCTTTATACAGGTACGGCCATCTAGAACTTCCCTAGCAACGTAAAACCAGTCTCCCTTAAACCTCACAAAGCTCCTGTGTGATAGAGCCGGAACACTGAACTAAGGCTCAGGGAAGTGAAGTTCCTTGTTCAAGGTCACTAATAAGTGGAAGAGATGGGCTTGACTCCTACCTTCTGTTCAAGTTTCCATGATACCTTTTCTACTGAGAATAGTTTTGTTATTATCCTGCTCAGAGTGTGAGGCTGAGCTCAGCTCAGCAAACTCTGGAGACCCAGGGCAAGTCTTTTCTCTCTCTTTAGGGACGAATGAAACTGACCTAAATCTTTTTACTTTAGTGCTTTCTGACTTAAAACTTGTTACTTTAGTGGTACTAAAATCAACAATTGATGGGTAACAAATTTGTCCTAGGCCAAAATGACCAGAGTATTTTCTAGCTTCCATTTCTCTCCTTTATCTTTCCGTATTTGTCAATTTGTTTTTGTCCAAAAAGGATGGAAGGAGAGGACTTTGCATGAAAAAGGGTCTGCTGTGGGTTGAATTAGAATCCCAGCTAGTCTGAGTCTCTTGACCAGAGTTTAGTTCTCAGCTGTGGTGAGAAAGATTTAGTTCTTCCTGTTTCCACCCAGAGGCATAGCCGTCTACAAGGGACCATCACTTATCAGCACTCATTGTCTGCTTTGACCGATTTTTCATATGGACAGTGTTGTATGGTGACTTCTCAGGTCCCTGCAAAGCTAAAATCTCCTTGTGAAAGAGTCTGTATGATATTTTTATTGTTTAAGGCAGGTGTTCTGTATTGTGAGGCCAGAGAGACTGGAACATGGTAATAATGATCATCGATACTGATACACTTGGAATCTCCTGTAACCTCGATTAAAAAGTATGCACTCTGTCCGTAAACACTGATTTCCCTCTTTGCCTTATGTGGTGGTAGATTTGGAGGAAGTATGAAAGAGGTAGAAATAATAGCTGTATTCAATTTCTACTAAAATTTTGTACTTAAAAATTTCATCTCCTTCTTTAACTTCAGTAACCTTAATGAATTTCTATTAGTAGTATTTTGCAGATGGTAAAGGAGAGACCCATGTAAATGCCTCTCCAACTTTCCTGCCTATTAGACTCACCTGAAGTGATTTTTTTTTTTTTGAGAGGTTTTCACTATAGGGCATGTGCGCTCATCAGACAGAGAGAGATATAGAGACAGAAAGTGAGAAATCACCCCCCAGGGGGGATGGTCACGCCACAGTCCCTTCTCCTCCATTCTCCTCTCGGGATCTTGGGCACGCACGTACACGCACCCAGAGTGAGTTTTAAGCCACCGGGTCCAGGACGCGAACCGTGGTCGACTACGTGGGAGTCCAGCGACATAGCCATTATGCTAACTGCTGGTTCCCACCTGAAGTGATTTTTTTAAACCATCCCATGCTCAGGATGTGTCCCAAGCCAATTAAGAGAAAATTTCTGGGGGATGGATATATATACTTAATATTTTCTCAAGTGATTCCAGTATACAGTCAACTTGGATAACCAGTTACAAATGTCAATATAAATTGGCAAGTGGCAATTGTATTAACCTCTCCAACATATTTGGTTTGGTTGGAGGAAATAATGACCTCACTCCTATAGCTACCTTTCTATTCTGCTACATAGTTGATAATCCCTGGAAAAAAAGTAGTCTTTTTGCTAAGTTATGGCTCTGCCTATCTCTTCTCTCCTCTTCCATGCTGCATTTTATTTTACACAGAAGCATAAATGAGTGGGTCTCAAGGGAAAGGCCTATGATTTTATAGGATTTATTAAAGCACCAGCCTATGAAATGAAAGGTCTTACCTCCTTGGAATAGTGTTCAATGATTCTTTGGACAGGAATGATGACATTTTTCAGTTCCCTGAGTCATACAGAATAGGATCCAAAAATGACTTGCCTTACATAAAATGTTTTCCAGCCTCAGCAAAGAGTTCCTCAGTCTGGGATAGCCCATAGTCTGGTGGTTGAGGTGGCTGGATCCCACATGACTGGCCAAGCAATTTGAGTCCCAGACTTGACAGCTTGAGAAACACACAGGGCATGTGTGCATGCAAGAAGAGAAATGGAAGAAAAAGGATTGCAGCATGATGACCATCCTCCATGGGGAGTGTTCTTACTTTTCCTCTCTCTGTCTCTCTCCAGCAAGTGCATACCCTCTCTGCCAAATTAAGAATAAATAAATAAAATGGCTTTCTCAGTCTGGAGGAATTGGAGCCACCATATATAGCTAGATTTCATGCCCCCTTTCTCCTTTAAAATCTCAAAGGAAAAAATGGAAAGATTGGTTAGCTTCTGGGAAAGACAGGTCCTCATAAGCAGACAAGCATTCCTATTCAGAGGTACATTTAATCCTATTGGGTCATTTGGGAAAGCCAAGGCACACTTTTGCATAGAAGAACATAGAAAAACATGTCAGGACTTTCCCGATGACGTGTTATATTCTTGTCCTCTAATCTTGAGAGTGAATCCTACTTCTGGATCCCTGAACTCTATCATGAGGAATTATATTAGCAGCCAGGAAGGATTGGGACCACTGGGCTTTCCCTTGTATACACTATTGACTTTCAGATACTTTATTTATCTTCTATCTTTTGGTATCTCATGCTAGGAAATGCAAAGGATGAAAGTTACAACCTCTAGGTTGTGAGTCTTCATCTAATCTGTATTCTGTAGTGGACAGGGACCTCTGACATCCTGTGTCTCATTTTAATCTCCATTCTTAGCAATCACATGCTTTCTTGTCCAGCCTTCTCTCTGACACCTTGTTTGTTTCTCACTCATGTTTCTTTCTGCCTAGGTGTCAGCTCCATCCCTCCTGCTTCCACAGCCTCATTGCCAAGCAACCAGTTGGATGCCAACTCTTCCCACTACCTCAACCCTCCACAGCCCCAATCTCCTCTGGGGTGTGCCATCGAACTGGGCAGAATCCTGGAGCCTGGGTACCTGGGAAGTAGTGGCCAATGGGATATGATGAGACCTCAGAAAGGAAGTGTATCAGGGGAACTATCCACAGGATCCTCCATGTACCAGCTTAACTCCAAACCCACAGGTAAAACACAAAGTCAAAGGTGTCAGCCTCTGAAATAAAATCTCACTCAGAGCCTACTCCTTCCCTGCATGGGCAGGGCTTTCGTGTTCTCCTCTAGTAGCTCACTCACAGAATGGATGTAAAATAGGAGGGGTGAATCAATGGCCAGTTCTCTCTAAGAACATCCCTTCATTCTCCCTGCCCAGGGCCTCAGTGTTCTGCAGGGACTCTCCTCTTCACCTCTCTCATTCACGTGTCTCTCCCTGGGCTCCAATGTCTTTGTAGCCCAGTGTCTTAGAGCCTGCCAGAAACAAACATTGAGGGGACTTCGTTCCTTCAGTCCATGTTGTTGCAAAAGGGACTCAGCTCCCTGACCCCACATGTGTTTTGTGCACAAAATCCAGTCACTCCTAGAGGTAAGGTGTTACTGAGCACATGAATGCTTAGACACAGTTCAGTTCCAAAAGTGAGACAACTAATTTTCATTTAAAAAACTGAGCCAAGAGAAAAATGATATATTTGATGTAGTCTGTCATTAGCATCCCTCCTACTTCTCTTTTCTGCATCTTTTTTCTTTTTTTTTTTGGAGAGATTTTTGCTATAGGGCATGTGCGCTCGCCAGACAGAGACAGAGAGACAGAAAGCGAGAAATCACCCCCCCAGGGGGGGATGGTCACACCGCAATCCCTTCTCCTCCGTTCTCCTCTCAGGATCTTGGGCACGCATGCACACGCGCCCGGCATGAGTTTTTTAAGCCACTGGGTCCGGGACACGAACCGCGGTCAACTACATGGGAGTTCAGCGACATAGCCATTACGCTAACATTACATTCCCTCTACATGTGTTGTGTTCCTTTCGTCTTGCGAATCCTTTCTTTCTTCTTGCTAATCCTCCAGGCAATGCTTTCTTCCTACCATATTAAAAGTGACTTGAGAGGGAACCAGCAGTTAGCGCAATGGCTATGTCGCTGGACTCCCACATAGTCGACCGCGGTTCGCGTCCCAGACCCGGTGGCTTAAAACTCACGCCGGGCACATGTGCGTGTGTGCCCAAGATCCCGAGAGGAGAATGGAGGAGAAGGGATTGCGGTGTGACCATCCTCCCTGGGGGGTGATTTCTCGTTTTCTGTCTCTATGTCTCTCTCTCTCTGTCTGGTGAGCGCACGCGCCCTATAGCGAAAATCTCTCCAAAAAAAAAAAAAAAAAAACCAGTGACTTGAGAGAAGTATTCAGTATCAGTCACTAACCTCATAGTGTGAGTTTGAAGTCATGTACTTTTACCTCAGACCTCTCTCTAAGGGTGGGAAGGGCTTTGTCCCTTGCTAATGAATGCTTACTCAAATAGCACTAAGACAAAAGGTCTTATAAAGAAACGGAGAGTGAGGGCTTATCTTTGATTCTTAGTCATACCCAGGACTTTCCAGACACCAGGCGGGCTCTGTCCAGAACCTTCACTTATTTTTCTAGACTACATGGAACTCCTTTTCACTACTAGGCTCCTGTGTGGGAGGAGGCCCTTGGAGTTTCTTCAGCAAGGGGCCATCCTGTATTTGAAAGCCCATTGAGTCCTTAAACAGTTACCTGTGTCCCCTGAGTGCATAGTGAGAGGAGGATGCAACTGGCAGAAGGGTGGTGAGTTAGGGGATCCTGCTGAGAGACTGACCAAGCTCCACACCTCAGCCTCACAAGTAACCAGGATTCTCTATCTTCCACCTCTCTCTCTGTCTCGGTGGGATGGCTGCAGGGGCCGACCTGCTGGAAGAGCATCTTGGAGAAATCCGGAACCTGCGCCAGCGGCTGGAGGAGTCCATCTGCATCAACGACCGCCTCCGGGAGCAGCTGGAACACCGGCTCAGCTCCACTGCCCGCGCAAGTGGTAGGACAGGCCCAGGTCTTCCTGTTTCTGGTCACATTTTAGGAGCTTCTAAAGGGAGAGACCTTGGGTAGAGTTTGTGGTTTTGAAAGCACTTTGGTATGCTTTACTTTCACTTGCTCCTTACAAGAGTCCAGCGAAGGAGGTGGTTAGTGTTACTGTCTCTCTGTGTGTATCTGAGCTTAGAGTCACTTTCCTTCAGGCAGAACTGGTTCTGGGCTTCAGATTGCCTAATTTCTCATCCATCCTTAACCTGCCTATTTACTTCCTGCTG